GTCAAAGCATGGCAGATCTACCTTCAGTCGTCAGTTTATAATTACAAACTACTTACTAACCTCGAATTTTTTGTCTTCGTCCTTACTGGTGGTAAACATATTTTCAGTTGGCATACCAGCCTGATTCTGTGACGACAGCGACTGCTCTGATCCGGGCTCACCAGATCCCTGCACTCGATCTGAAAGTGATAGCAAAAAACCTTCATCATATATGTAGCTGCAAACTCCACTTTTCTTGAGTGATTCTTCCTATGAGAGCCTCAATGAAAAGAGATGAAAGAAACAGATTTCTCATCAAATTCGATCTATTTTCTTTCCCAGAAAAACAACTCACACATATTAATTATTTGTTGTCTATAGGTTTCCGAATTGACATCATTTAATGTCAGTGTCTGCATAAAACTGGCTGACGTCTGGTCTGGGAACGGTCTCATCAATCCGGCCACACGAGGGAGATTGTACCGCTGACGCATCTCTGCCTCTCGCGTTTTATCACCATCAGGACGCTGAAAAAAGAATGTAACGTACAAGTATTCGACCAAAAGTAAACTGATGATAAGTATGTGAATCCGAAACGCTCTGAAATATACTGATTTTTTTCAACGTCTCTCTAAAAAAGTGAATATTCGTCTGTCTGTAAGGAAAAAAAATAGTTCTCACCACTCCATACTGCGGTGGTACACTGAGCGCAACGTTGAGCAATCCCATACTTTCCTGATAATTCGAGTAACGATCAACGTCGATTGCATAAGATTCCCGGATACGAACTCCAATCTGAGCTTCCTCGAGAACAATGTAAATTTCTGGCTGACCTCGTTCCACATTATTCACGTAGACTAGCACACCTGAAGAACAAAACTCAGGATTTATTAATAGGATCGTTAGAGCAATTCCTACAGCCGGCACTAAGGCTTCCTGTAGTGCTTTACTGAACCGTTCTAAAGCATGTTGGCCAAGATCGAGCATGAGAAGCAAAACATTGCGGAAAACTTCAATACTATATATGGTTCCTACTGATTCAAGGGACTTCTGAACAACCTCTATTGCGAATGCCGCTTCCATTTAAAAGCCTTCTATGTATCTCCAACCTTTGAAACGCTGAAGTCTCATCGTATCGAAATAACGCATAATATTCCCGACGATTATGCTGGTTCTATAGCGGAACCTTCTGGTGTCCTTCCGAGTGACCACATGTACTCTATCGGTACCAGTTGCCTCCAATGCGACACCGGTGATGACTGTCACATTCGTCGGCTGAACAAGATCCTGTTGAGCCATTCCGCGTCCGAGAAGACCTTGAAAAATACCAATTTACAGTTAGAAATAACCATTTCACTGAATAGGATTTCAT